CGAAAATGGTTAGAATTTCGAGGGTATGTCTATTCACCAAAAATGATTGTAATGGACCCCCGCAACTAAAACTATTTTTTCCAGAACAATTTGAATTTTTTTTTTCCCCCCGAAAAATTTCATACCTTCTCGAATTTTTTTCTCGAAAATGGTTAGAATTTCGAGGGTATGTCTATTCACCAAAAATGATTGTAATTGACCCCTTCAACTAAAAATAATTTTTGCAGAACGATTTGGAACACATGAAATCTCAGGGGAATCATTCATTCATGGTCAGACATTATATTTTCAGTAATGAATTTTTTTCTCGAAAATGGTTAGGATTTCGAGGGTGTGTCTATTGACCCCTGCAACCGGAAATAATTTTTCCAGAGTGATCAGAAATTTTTTAATTCAATTTTTTAACAACGAAGCCTCAATCAAGAAATTGATATTCTTAATTTTCGTCTTATTTTGACCTCCAGAATCTCCCTTTAATATTTTGCTCAGGGTTGCCCGAACACCCTGTATATTGCGACGCTCTGTGCGTCGATTCTGTTTCTATCGCCATGATTGATAGAGACGAAAGTTCAACGACCTTTTCGCGGACTTGTAGATTTTTCTATGCAAACGAGGACGTCGTCGAATAATAGACCGAGCAACGTATCCTGATCGAGACTCCGCGTAGCGGTAATCAGCACCGATACAGTCGTCTATTTTGTTCTGGCGGGACGCATTGTAAACGTAATAAAATATGCGAAATTTATCGACGGAGGCTATCACGCGTCCTTACATTCACGGCCTCAATTTGCGCATAAATTATTGTTCCATCGCCGAGATATAAACGGTCGACTGGAATGCCATAGTGTGTACAATACGCGTGGTCTTATCTGTCGTTAAAAATGACACGACGAGGTAGCGTGTACGTTCCTAAGCTCCAACGACGGAGAAGAACAGACCTTTTTGCGGCAATTATTCACCGAACATTGGAAATAATTAATAGACTGCCCGGTGGATCAAAAAAGCGATAAAAAAAGTAAGAAACTCGTAATTAAAATAAAAACAAACAAATAATAGGAACACCTTGTATAATAGGTAGATAACAAATATAATTATAATTATTTTACAATCACTCGAAGCTTTTTACAGTATTTGCTAATTAATAAACGTAGTAATCGTTCCTCTTTGTACAAATCACGAACAAGAATTTTTCTTACATAATTTTGCTCGAAAGTTTCGCTCGCGATGTTTCTGTTTTAATGACGAAGAATCGTGAGGAAAGAAATTATAAATTATGATACGTAGTGGTACATGTGATGAATAATATCGGAGCAAAAGTTTTCAGGAACGTAATTAACTCTCGAACAGTAAAAGTTTCGGTATCCTCGTTGTGGGACGAGATAAACTAAACTTCGATTTTCCTGTTGGCTTCAAATATTCGGTAATCTTTTGATAGCAAGATATAAATAATAATGAATAGTTTGTAAAGAAAAAAAATTGTTGTTTCTCGAACAACGTCAATTCCGTTGCATTATGCAGTCCAAGTATTCTGCATTGATCGCACGACACGCAGCGGTTGTGGACGTTATTTGCTCTTTTCTGTGTACTTAGCGAACCATTTATAGTCGTATCCACAGCCAGGAACGAAAAAGAAACAGCACCATTTGTTAAAATCTTAATTTTTGTTAAATACGTCGCACGAAACCGATGCATCGTGTCTAGATTCCTCTAAATCGGTGATTCCCATCTTAAGAAAGACGCCTTACAAGTGATTGTACGAGAAAAAAACAATACGAGCGTAAATTTTTCGGAAAATTTCAAACAAATGCACGAAATGGTGGCAATATTTGTATTTTCATATTAAAAAAATGGCGCAAGTGTATTTCAGCACTATCAGCGACATCTATTGAATCGTACTTCAAGCTCTTAAAAGAGAACGCATAGGCGTATACTTAAAAAATGAATTTTCTATCTTCCTTCGATTCATTAATTGTATTAATTTTTGTTATACAGAAAGATTAGTTTTAAATTTATCCAACATCCTTTGGGTCTACTCGATTAAAAGGTACAAAAATAATTGGAAAGCAGAAGTGTTTTGGCACCGATCAATTACATTTTCAATCAACCGTAAAAGCAATTGTGATTAACTATTAATCGCTGAAACTAATACTTGTTCGCAAGATTTCGTTTCAGTTTTTGTTTCTGAAAGCTAGAAAGGGCGATGGTATTTTTCAAATTAATATCGTGACCTCGCGACGAAGATATCGGTATAAATAAATTGCGGTGGCTTCGAGAAAGACGACAGTTCGATGACACGGATATATCGCAGCGGGGGCTTAATTGAAATATATACATGTTACGGTTCGATTTTCAGCCGCCTTTATGGTCGTGCAATATGCAAACAGTAGTGTAAAGACTGTAAAGTAGAGTACCAACAGTGTTGGTGTATTAGAATAATAACATCGCAGGAGTTGGAACATCCTTGAGTGTGGCACAGAAACGTCATGTCGCTGAGAGCATTATTAAGCCATTATCCTGCCGCTGATAAAGCGGTTAAGCATAATTCTCATTGACGATGCTATAGAAATAATCACAGCTGCTATTTTTGCATCCGATTTAGCTAGCAACTTGGCTTTACAGCGCCGTTGTATCTCTCCTTAAATTATGCTTGATGTTCTTAGTCTTACGGGCCAATGCATACCTGTCGCCCCGAGGCTTTCTCAATATCGCTTTCCGTTCCGTGTCCGAGAAACTCTCGGCTTAAGCTAACAGTGCAAGTTCGATTACACTCGTATAACTCTCGATCCCTCTCGATCCAAACACTTGGAAGAAGGCAATATATTACGACCGTGGTCGTTTGTTTCGCGCTCGGCTAATACCCCAGTTGCCAGCCTTTCGACGAACAAAGTTCAAACTGATAAATAACCAGGCTCAAAATTATATTTAACGATGCCCGTTTCGACTAACAGGTGGCTCAATGATGATTATTATTCCCCTTTAAATTACTATCATAATATGAGCTACTCAATGATGATTATTATTCCCTCTAAATTACGATCATAATATGAGCTACTCAATGATGATTATCATTCCCTCTAAATTGCTATCATAATACACATCTGATATTTGAAATGTTGAATATTATTGTAACTAGAGGAATAATTATAGTTTAACATATAATTTGAGCTACTCAATTATGATTATTACTCCCCCTGAAATGCTATCATAATATGAGCTACTCAATGGTGATTATTGAACCCTCTAAATTACTATCATAATATGAGCTAATCAATGATGATTATTATTCCCTCTAAATTGCTATTAGAATAGTCATGTGATATTTGAAATGTTGAATATTATTGTAACTAGAGGAATAATTATAGTTTAACATATAATTTCAGCTACTCAACGATGATTATTATTCCCTCTAAATTACTATCGTAATATGAGCTACTCAATGATGATTATTATTCCCTCTAAATTGGTATCGTAATATGAGCTACTCAATGATGATTATTATTCCCTCTAAATTGCTATCATAATACACATGTGATATTTGAAATGTTGAATATTATTGTAACTAGAGGAATAATTATAGTTTAACATATAATATGAACTACTCAATGATGATTATTATTCCCTCTACATTACTATCATAATATAAGTTACTCAATGATGATTATTATTCCCTCTAAATTACTATCATAATATGAGCTACTCAATGATGATTATTATTCCCTCTAAATTGCTATCATAATACACATGTGATATTTGTAATGTTGAATATTATTGTAACTTGAGGAATAATTATAGTTTAACATATAATATAAGCTACTCTATGATGATCATTATTCCCTCTAAATTGCTGTCATAATACACATATGATATTTGAAATGTTGAATATTATTGTAACTAGAGGAATAATTATAGTTTAACATATAATTTGAGCTACTCAATTATGATTATTACTCCCCCTGAAATGCTATCATAATATGAGCTACTCAATGGTGATTATTGAACCCTCTAAATTACTATCATAATATGAGCTACTCAATGATGATTATTATTCCCTCTAAATTGCTATCATAATACACATGTGATATTTGAAATGTTGAATATTATTGTAACTAGAGGAATAATTATAATTTAACATATAATTTTAGCTACTCAGTGATAATTATTATTCCCTCTAAATTGCTATCATAATACACATGTGATATTTGAAATGTTGAATATTATTGTAACTAGAGGAATAATTATAGTTTAACATGTAATTTTAGCTACTCAATGATGATTATTATTCCCTCTAAATTGCTATCATAATACACGTGTGATATTTGAAATGTTGAATATTATTGCAACTAGAGGAATAATTATAGTTTATCATATAATTTGAGCTACTCAATGATGATTATTATTCCCTCTAAATTGCTATCATAATACACATGTGATATTTGAAATGTTGAATATTATTGCAACTAGAGGAATAATTATAGTTTATCATATAATTTGAGCTACTCAGTGATGATTATTATTCCCTCTAAATTGCTATCATAATACACATGTGATATTTGAAATGTTGAATATTATTGTAACTAGAGGAATAATTATAGTTTAACATGTAATTTTAGCTACTCAATGATGATTATTATTCCCTCTAAATTACTATCATAATATATATATATATATATACTATCATAAATTACTATCTAAATTTATCCCTCGTTAGTCCGAGAAAATGAAACGACACGAACTTATGGGACGACCTAATAGTTTGTTTCAAAAATTATTATATATATTATATATTTTTTTAAAAATTAAATTTGCAATATATAAATGAATGATACGTAAAAAAAAACTATTTTAATGGAAAATTGATTTCTTTTCCTTCTATACACATGCTCGTTACACTGTGAGTAGTAGCAAAACGTTGCTTCAAACTTGAAAAATAGCATTTTTGCCAGCGTTTTCTGGCGAAACGGTCGCAACTCCTCGTTTCTAATCTCAGTTTTCTTTTTCAGACGCTATGAACAGGCTGAAGGAGCAGATGATGAACATCCTGTCAGGCATTGTCGATAAAGACGCGTCTTCGGACGCGATTCCCGGAGTAGCAAACAGCACCTCCGTCACCAAGGTGAGTCGTCGTACGAATATTACAATAATTTCCGTTTGTCTCGTTTAACTACGGCCCCTCAGGTCCTCCCACCTTCGTCACGGTTAATCATTTCACCTCGCCGGCAAATTTCTTCCTTTAGTTAACCCTTTGTGCGCGTACGGTTGCTCCTCAATCAGCAAGTTGCGCGATGTATCCATTCCTCGCGCGAGCGTCTTCTTCCGGTCGTCGAGAAATGAAATTCACGCTCCGGCGATCTGTGTTATTCGCAATTATTGACGAACGAAACCGATAAAAGAGAGATAATATTGTTATTTTTACCGTAATTGCAACGAGCTTGACGCTAGTCGGCGATAAAAAACTATTTCATCGAGCAATATTTGACATCGTCGACGAAAATAAGAACAATATCTTTTCGAGTCGATTAGAGGTCGTTTAACCCGTTCGAATTGCTTGGAAGTTAAATCGCTGTCGATATACAGGGTGTTCGACCACCCCCTGGGAAAAATTTTAATGAGCGATTTTAGAGGCCAAAATAAGACGAAAATCAAGAATACCAATTTGCCGATTGAGGCTTTGTTGAAAAGTTATTAACAAAATTATTGTTCGAAGTTATTAATAAAATTTGTCCACCTCCACGAATTTTTTTCTTGAAAATGGCAAGGAATTCGGGGGTATATGTATTCACCAAAAATAATTGTAATTGACCCCCACAAACGAAAAGAATTTTTTCAGAACGATTTGAAATTTTTTTTTTCTTTAGGCACCTACCCCCCTATCGCTTTTTCTTAGAAATTCGTTTTTGATTTTTGATAATTTTGTTTCACGCTGTACGGAAATGTTGTCTAATACTTTTATGTAGGTATTAATGGACTCTATATCCTTCCAAAATTTCATTAAAATATATTCACTATTGTAAAAGTTATGGTCGTTTGAAAATTGGACCATTTTAAAGGGGGTTTTTCTCATTTTACGGGGTCAAGGATCAACTTTTCGAATATTCTTGCGATTTCTACATATTCTCCACTAAAATACGCGTTGTTTACAGTTTGAAAAATTAAAATCCTTCGATCCGTTCAGGAGTTATGATGTTTGAAAGATTCCCATAAAATTTCGGGGAACCATTTCAGTCCACAGATTAGATTTTCGGTAAGGAATTATTTTCTCGAAAGGGTTAGGATTTCGGGGGTATATCTATTCACCAAAGATAATTGTAATTGGGTCCTGCAACTAAAAATAATTTTTTCAGAATAATTGAAAGATTTTAATTTCGTCAAAAAATGTATCCACTTACTGAATTTTTTTTTCGAAAGTGTGTAGGATTTCGGGGGTATATGTATTCACCAAAAATAATTGTAATTGACCCCCACAAACGAAAAGAATTTTTTCAGAATTATTTGAAATTTTTTTTTTCTTTAGGCACCTACCCCCTGTCGATTATTCTTAAAAATTCGTTTTTCATTTTTGATAATTTTGTTTCGCGCTGTACGGAAATGTTGTTTAATACTTTTTTGTAGATATTCATGAACTCCACATCCTCCTAAAATTTCATTGAAATTTATTCACTATTGTAAATGTTATGGTCGTTTGAAAATTGGACCATTTTTATGGGAGTTTTCCTCATTTTACGGGGTCAAGGATCATCTTTTCGAATATTTTTACAATTTCTAGATATTCTTCATCAAAATACGCGTAGTTTGCTTTTTTAAAAATTAAAATCGGCCAATCCGTTCAGAAGTTATGACGTTTTAAAAATTTGCTTGAAATTTCAGTGAAACATCTCAACGGTATGGTCAGACATGAAATTTTCGTTAATGAATTTTTTTCTCGAAACTGCGTAGGATTTCGGGGGTATGTCTCTTGACCAAAAATGATTGTAATTGCCCCCCGCAACTAAAAATAATTTTTTTAAAACGATTTGAAATTTTTTTTTTCCGTCGAAAAATTTCATACCTTCTCGAATTTTTTTCTAGAAAATGGGTAGGATTTTGGGGATATATCTATTCACCAAAAATGATTATAATCGACCCCTGCACACAAAAATAATTTTTGTAGAACGATTTAAAATTTTTAAATTTTGTCGAAAAAATTCACACCTTCTCGAATTTTTTTCTCGAAAATGCGTAGGATTTCGGGGTTATTTCTATTGACCAAAAATGATTATAATTGACCCCCGGAACTGAAAATAAATTTTCCAAAACGATTTGAAACTTGTTAATTTTGCCAAAATTTTTCTTTTTTTAACTTTTTGACGAAGCCTCAATCAACAAATTGGCATTCTTGATTTTCGTCTTATTTTGGCCTGTAGAACCTACCATTCAAATTTTTCCCAGAGTTAATCGAAGACTCTGTATATAATTTATATTTTGGCAATTTATTTAGCACTTTACAGATTTTGAATTCTAATCGAAAGAACATAAGACGAAAATCAGGTGAATATACATAATAGAGTGTATTTGAACGTAATATATACATTTTTTTTTTTATTAAAATTCCTATATACGGTGCTTTGTTCAACAATTTTGACTTATATTAAAACTAGATACCAATATGGCCTCTTCTTGAACCGATTATGTTTCTTCCTTTGTTTAGATACATTTTCTGGATACTTTCTCGAATCTTACTGTTCATATTTACTATCCCTTTTCCGTTTTCTAACTCCCGTTAATCTCTGAATCGAAGGGTTCACCGCGTAATTAATATAAAAAAGTATCGATAGAACCGATATCGACGGGTATCCAAAGGGTTGATAAGAGTCGCCCTGTGTCAAAAGATAACGCAAAGCAAACTTACATAAATGTATCTGTTATAGGTCATCAATGGCCACGTGGTGACCATAAACGAGACGGTCTACGCGGACAAGGAGGACGAGTATGGAACGTGGATCCGTGTCCGCGTAATCTCCGTGGATCCCCAAAACGAGACGGTTTCGACGACCGAAAGGCGAGTCGAGAGCGAGGGTGACCACACGCCAAGAAGCGTCGAGACTGTCGAGGACTTCGAGAACAATATCCCAAAGAACGAGGTGGACACCTTAACTGCTTGAAGGCAGTCGAATTATTCGATCGATCATCCTCGGGATTGAATCCAAAGGAGCACACGCGTCCCGGTTCCTCGAAAATCTTCCAAGAAAATATGAAAATCGGCGTCCAAAATTGCACCGTACGCGCGTCACCAGAATTAATACTGTCAATTGTTATATGTATTATATATATTGTTAGAACAACGTAAAATATTTTTCATCCGCAAACCACCATAATGGATTCAGTACCGAAGACTCGGGGTAATGGAAAACTGTGTAAACTATCGCGTGTTAACAGAGCGTCTACTATCGTAGCGATATAGGAATAGTATTACATATTACATATAATATACGTTCTTCAATAATGATTATACATGGTATAGTTGAGATCGCCTGTAACGGAACGACCCGTAACGTTTTAAAAAAAACTAACTGTACATCTTTGCCGCGGTCTGGTTGGAAATGTGATCTAGCTTCGTTATATATTTTATGTAAGATCTACCCAACAGTAGTGAGACTATATTTGCAGGTTGTAACTATCTATAATATTCGACAGTGATAAGTGTTTGGAGGTGAACGAGAACTGTTATTATTTTTTAAACAAACAGTAAAAACTACTATCAAATATAAGATTCCTCTAGTTTGTCTCGATGTTCCTTCATGCATTCCTGAAAGATCCCCAAAGCAAGAATATGCAGCTGGTCGATTTTTTATATTCACAGGATAAGTTTCTATGGGTTTTAAGGAGCCGAAGTGCGCCATTTTTTATCCAAGAGCTGATGGGGGAACTTATAAAAAATAAATGTAAACTTTCGAGTGTCGCCATCTGCGAAACTCAACTAATTAGTGTACTTCAAGCAGCAAAACAATCGTTTAGGAAATTAACAGGTGCATTGGCGATGGTATTTAAGTAGATGTTTGTATGTGTAACAATTTATTGAAATAAATTCATAATGAAAGTAAATGCAATGAATTTTGGTAACAGACAGAATTTTTATTTTAAGATAAAATAATAACAATATTAACAAACATTTCTTCTTAATATTAATCTATATTGTTACAGACTATAATATTTCTGTCAAACTCGCCCCAAAGATGCTCCATTAAGTGCAAATCTGAGCTTTGACTTGGCCACAAAGGAACCGATGTGTTATTGTTATTTTATAAAAATTTCATAACAATTTTCACGGTATACTTTGGGTCGTTATCACGTTGAAAGACCAACACCTTATTATTTCCAAATTTTTCTATAAATGGAAACAAATTATCCTTTAACAACTCTATATATTTAATTGCAGTCGATTTTCCTTTGATAAATGCTAAATTTCCCACGTGATTGTTATTAAAGCAGCCCCATATCATGATAGAGTCATCTCCGTATTTGACTGCACAGTAATGACTCTTAAAATGAATCCAAAATATAATTTGTAAGTTAAACTTATCTATTCTTCCCAATGATATCGTTGTGTATAAATATCTGCACCAACTGCGAAGCAATGTTCATTATAAGAATCATTATTGTAGATGCAGTGCTTAAAAGCGTTTGAAATTTGCCAAGGATCATTAACAATAAATCTTTATCATTTTGGAAATTTATCGTTTGGAATGATGAGCCAAAATTTGCATTACGATAAAACAAACATTTATAACATCTGCTGTCAAACACAACGGTAGCTCTATTTCTCGGGAAAATAAGCTTGTTTGTTAACAATTACAATAAAAATTCTTCATAATCTTCATCTCTACTAAACCTAGGAAAAATTTTAATGGGGGATTCTAGAGGCCAAAATAAAACGAAAATCAAGAATACCAATTTGTTGATGGAGGTTTTGTTAAATAGTTATTAATATTTAAAGTTCCGCCGGTACTGAATTTTTTTTCGGGGAATGGAGTTGGCGATTTGGTACAATTTCACGAAATAATGAATGCAAATAAGTATATTGAAATAATAGATGAAAATGGGACTCGAAGAAGAAATTATTTTGCAATAAGACGACGACTCGAGGTACACTGCAAAAAGAAAAACAAAAAAATTTTTGAGGATTCCAATATTAAATTATTGGGATTTGAATCTTATCGAAGATAATTGTAATTGGCGTTTGAAAATGTTGATAAAAATTACATTGAAAATCTTATAAATAGCGTTCCACGATATTTAAAAGCATTTATTGCAGTAAAGGGTGGTCATACTAAATATTGATTTTATATTTTATTACCTTACCACTTATTTCAACAGAAATGTAGATATTAATTTCAATTATACGTTGAATAATCTATGTACCATAAAGATACATAATGTGTAAAACTTAATTCCATAATAGTTATACTACTTTGGTTAAATTTTATTTTTACTTATTTCCTTTACCTGTCCACTTAATTAGGAATTATTTTTACACTTTGAAAAGATACATTTGTTTACAAATATTTTGCTCATATTTTCAAATATTCTAATAAATGCTATTACAACATGTCCTTGAATGTTATTTGATTTATAACGACAGAACGATAAACGATATTGATATTAAATAATTGAATAGGAGAAAAAAATAATGACTGCGAAATATTTATCTTCCTCTTGTCTAATCAGTTCATGTTTTCAAAATAATTGGAAGCACAACACTATCTTTTGCATCTTAAAGACATAATCGTGGGAACAACTTACCCCCGGAACATTTAGCCTCAGTCTCCCCTAAAAATCTTGTAACAGATATGGTAATTTGCTCGTTTCAAACGCGTGAAAACTACGGGTCGATTCCTTCGTTCCTCGCAAATTTTTTTGCTCCTATTTTTTAGTTTTTCACGATTATTACTTATACAATATATATTCGATCGAAAAAACTTTCAAATTGGAATAAATAAAGCGCATGCGCAGAACGAAAGAAAAGTGAACGCGTAGCGCATGCGCAAATTCGAATTGATAGAACGAAACAATGAATATTATTCTATTTTCCTTCATTAAATATATTGAATGTTTACTACAGTATGTCTTGAAACAAGTATTTATAAATAATAAATATGAATATCCGATTGCAATACGTTCCTATGAATGAAAGTAAATTAAATCAATAATAAGAAATTTTTATTTCATCACAAGCAATGGACTATTTGAACTAATTTCATTTCACTTATAAATAGAAATTTCATAAAAAACTAAAGAAAAAGAAAACAAAAATATGCAAAAATCAAGGAAACCGCCAACATTGCAATCGAAGATAAACAATATCCGGACCGTCCATTTAAAGTTGATAACTACCATATCAAAGCATCAATCGATTCACATTGTCATAGTACAATAAGTGAGATTGCAGAGAAGCTCGACGTATCACAGTGCAAATGCTTATTGACATAATCATTCGTTATCTATCTTAGCTTATTACATGACAGAAGCAATAATTTATATACAATGATCCACAAAACAATAACAAAAGTGTATTTATCGAATGAAATCATTGAAAAATTACTATAATTAATTGGCCCGCCTTTCCTTTTGAGGACTTCCTTTAATCGTTTTGGGCACAGAATCGACTAACTTTTCTGTAAAATCCGGCTCCATTTTGTTCCATTCTTCGAGTCTGCTTTGTTTGTTATGTGATGTTTCATAATCCTGTTTTCTAATTCGTTCCAGACACGTTCAACAGGATTTAGGGAATGGGAAATATTATAAATGATCCAGTGGTATAGAAATATTTCTAGGAAATAGAAATTCTGCAAAAGGTATAATTTTTCAGTACTTTTGAATAAATTTTATTTCAATATATTTGAATGCGTGTATTTGTACGTAATATTATCTATAAAAATTAATTCGTCCCAGACGCTGCCATAACTCCACCATTTCCATGTTTTACACTCGATTATGTAAATCCAGTTATGTATTTGCCTTTCTTCAAACTAATATTCTCCCATCTGATTTAAATATATTGCTTCGTTAGAAATTCTTTGGCGAATTCAACCCTCGTCTTTCGATTTTTTTCCGATATTTCGTGCAACACACTCTGTACAGTTTTCGAACTTCATTTTGACAATTTTTAATTAAAATTATTCTAAGTTCTGTTTAATTTAGGATTTTTCTTCATTTCGTTTACCATTTCACGTTTTTCGCATTATCAAAATGTAATCTATTTATAAATCGTTTTACAATGCTCCTAACACTTATCAATCGAGACAATGATCTACAGCGAGATTAATCGTAACAAGACACGATCAAATGCACTCGTATCCGGCGAAATTTCAAAGTCGACTTTCTCGATAAAAAAGCCTCACATGATAGATTGTTATTCTATATTTTAGACTTATTTTTTCACGTAGAATCACCCCCTTTTCGCTTGCACCATCAGTTACCGAACACCCTGTATAAAACAATTTCAACATCAAAAATTAAAAATACAAATAAAATTTAAAAAAAAATTAATAGAAAATTGATAAAATTTAAAAATAATTAATCACTTATATTTGTTAACAAAGTCTTGCATTGATAAATAGGTGTTATATTTTCTATTTCTCCACGAACTCTGTGTCATTTACGAAAAATTTCAATGTAGAATTAGATCCTTTTCTCAAGATTTGAAAACGATATCCACTACTTTCTTATTTCTTATTCATTTGCAATACTTTTGCAGCAGTATTTGCGCATTTATGTGTTAGCTGTTATTGAAGAGGTAATATAGCAATCTTGCGTCAACTTTGAGTCACGGAATCAACGATAACTGTTTAGCTGATAATGCACAACAGATTTTCTGTTCATTAAATGTATTTCATAATTTAGCCATTCGAAACAACAGACTACAGGAGACATGGAATAACCTGAGTAATCATAAAAATTATTGCATGTTGCCTTAAGAAATGAGAAAAATTCACAAATCTTTGCTCTCTATTTATACATATGTATAGTAATTCGTTAGTTTAGGAATCGTTTAAGATATAATTCTAATTTCAATAATCTAATTTAAGAATAAGTCTAAAATCGACGTCCCCAAATGGGTATACCCTCTTAACTGAATGTTTTTCTGTTCATTAAATGTATTTCATTATTTAGCCATTCGAAACAACAGACTACTGGGAGACATGGAATAACTTGAGTAATAATAAAAATTATTGCATGTTGCCCTAAGAAATGAGAAAAATTCACAAATCTTTGCTCTCTATTTATACATATGTGTAGTAATTCGTTAGTTTAGGAATCGTTTAAGATATAATTCTAATTTCAATAATCTAATTTAAGAATAAGTCTAAGATCGACGTCCCCAAATGGGTATACCCTCTTATCTGAAAGTTTCTGTGCTGACTGGAACTGTTATCGTCCTCCTCGAGTACCGTGGAAGAAAACAATGACAGGATGTATTTACCTTCGTGAAAACTTTTTGTTCCGTGGGAATTGAGCATCGATTCAACAGTATCGATTCATTCAGGGGGAAAAACGAGGGCATTTTCATCTTGGTCACCGTAGAACGAGGCGAACAGGTGAATTTTATCTAACACACTTTAAATGTAAGCCTTGTACATTTGTTATTTTGTGTTTTTAAATGATTTGATCCGTCGAAAATAATTGCAATCGCTTTGATAATACACACTTGATTATTTTTACTGTTCTACAGAAATCTGCGATAAGATTGAATCTCCAATTTGATATTACGCGAAAAAAATTGTCAAAAAATGAAATGAAATTATATGTATATTAAAATACAAATATAATTTTTTTTATGACTCAATGTAAATAAATTTTGTTTTTGTGTTTAGTGATGTAGGCATTGGCCAAAAATTACGTAAAAAAATCTGGTGCATTGTGGTTATCGAGATACGTTTTCAAGAATTTTTTTCGATTTTTCGACTCCAAATTCTGGGTGTGATAAATTAAACACGCAAAATAACGCAGATAAATACCGATTTCGTATTGAAGCATTCGAGACACTAGATTTATATAATTACTGTAAATACGTATTATTATTGGTTATATCCCTGAATTTTATT